TTTGTGACATGGATTCCATTTCGGAATTTGCGGCCTCTAACCACTTATCGGAATCGGGGCCCATCATTGCTTCTTCGTATGACGTAGGTTCATCACTCTCTATAATCAATAGATCATGATCATCCGTCACCCAATCTCCAAATCTATCGGGTTCGTGACGGTTCCTTTCGGACCTACGTACCTCAGGTTCCACAGGTATAGGTTCTACGACTCTTCGTAGATCTAACTGATGCTCTTCCTGAGAAGTTTGAACATCTTCCTGTGGTTCTCGAACTTCTTCGAGTAACACTTTACTCCCACTAGTTCCTTTTGAAAGAAACTCCCTTTCCAAAAAGGCACCATTTCGAGCAACAAACACTTTGTTGTCAGTAGGATGGTAGAAGTAATAACCTTTGGTCTCTTTAGGATAACCTACGAAGTAGCATTTATCAGATTTGGGTCCAAGCTTATCAGTAACCAACCGTTTGACATAAGCTTCACAACCCCAAATTTTGAGAAAAGATAAATTAGGAATTTTTCCAGTCCATATCTCATATGGTGTCTTTTCAACTGATTTTGATGGACATCTGTTTAGCATAAACACAGACGTCTCTAGAGCATATCCCCAAAAGGATATTGGAAGATCAGTGTGACTCATCATCGATCGAACCATATCCAATAAAGTCCGATTTCTCCTTTCGGACACACCATTCCACTGTGGTGTTCTTGAAGGAGTGAGCTGTGAAACAATTCCACACTCTCTGAGATGATCACTGAATGCTTGGCTCAAATATTCTCCTCCACGATCTGATCGAAGAGCTTTAATTGATTTGCCAAGTTGATTTTGTACTTCATTCTTGAACTCCTTGAACTTTTCAAAGGACTCGGACTTATGTTTCATTAGATAAACATAACCATATCTACTAAAGTCATCAGTAAATGTAATGAAGTACTGGTAGTTTCCTCTAGCGCTTATACTCATTGGCCCACATACATCTGTATGTATAAGGCCCAATAATTCACTAGCCCTCTCACTGTGTCCAATAAATGGGGCTTTAGTCATTTTACCCAACAAACAAGATTCACATGTCTCATAAGATTCATAATCAAATGAGTTCAAAAGTCCATCACTATGAAGCTTTTGAATGCGTTTCTCGTTTATATGGCCCAAACGACAATGCCAGAGAAAAGTTGGATTCAAGTCATTAGACTTAAATCTCTTGGTACGAATGTTATAGACTGGCATGCTTTGGTTTAGAACATAAAGCCCATTCTCTAGTGGAGCGCTACCATAAAACATATCATCTCGATCAAATGAACAACATTTGTTCTTGATCGAAAAGTGAAAACCTTCCATGTCCAAACATGAAACGGAGATGATATTCTTGTTTATAGCTGGAACATAGTAGCAGTTCTTAAGCTCCAAAACCATGCCTGAAGGTAAAGACAACGAATATGTTCCCACGGCTAATGCAGAAACTTTTGCTCCATTAGCCACACGTAGGTCCACTTGTCCTTCCTCGAAAGTTCTACTGTTGGTTAGGCCATGCACATTTACACAAATGTGAGCACCACAACCGGTATCCAATACCCAAGGAGTAGAACCAGAAGTAGTAACATTTACTTCTATAACATAGATACCCGAAGAAGAAATCTTGAATGTTTTCTTCTTCTCCAGATCTTCCAAGTTTTCAAGAGGGTTTGATCTATTCAATTTGTCCTTCTTAAGAACATCTCGAAATGAATAGGAACTTTGTGGGTTTGACATAACTGTCGAAAAAGAAAAGCAGAAATTAATATGATGTTCATAAATTTTAGAATTCTCAATAATTAAGAAAACTAACACTATACTCAAAACAAAATTTCCTCTAATGAGTACAATGATCCAAGATCCATATTTCACTAGAATCCAAGTGAGCTTTGGCTCTACCCCTGGATATCTAGCTATTTAGGTAAGCAACACCTTGCTAATTATATCTAATATAATTCTTGGTTGTGGATGACATCTTATGTCTTATCCAACCCTATGTCTCTAAGCCCAAAACCGTTTTGATAGCCTAGTCAAGTAAACAAATTTTATTTTCATATGGTAACCGTTACCATCTATCTCACTCTTAAACAATTGCAGACCGCTGCTTTGGCAGACCCGCCATACAACAATTTAAGTTTTAATAGTTGATAAAATTGGGGAGACATCAAATACTTGATATTAGTTGAGGAAATAATTTTATAACTCAATTGTATATTTAAAATTTATATCCAATATAAATAAAATATAACTAATACATACTCCCTCCGTATTTTAATAATTGTCGTTTTAGAATTTTTATTTTTTTGAATTGGATGTCGTTTTCAAATTTCTATGCAAAATTTATTACTTTTTAATGTTTTATGACATCATAAAACATTAAAAAGTAAGAAATTTTGCATTGAAATTTGAAAACGACATCTAATTTAAAAAAAAATAAAATCCTAAAACGACAATTATTAAAATACGGAGGGAGTATCTAATATGTAGTTAATTGAATTATAAATAATTTAATTAATTTTAATCAAAATAAAATTATTATTTATTGAGAAATTTAATCTTAATTAAATTTCAATAGCTCTAATCAGATTAGAACGTAATATTAATCGAACTTATCCTAATCGAATTAAGATCTTATCCAATTATTATAATCACAATTATAATTATGATCAAATCAAAATCTACGACTATTGAATTTTCCTTCTCAAAAGGATAATTCTTAAGCCAAAAATATTATTATTATATTTATGGTAACAGATCTTTTGCATAAGGAACAATTCCAAATCAAAAGAATCCTATACTTTTTTTTTTTTTTGTTAAAAAGAATCCTATACTTACCCATAATTCAACATACATATATTAAATATAATATATATTTCTAACTACGAAATTTTATATGTATATGTGAATATAATATAAACAAGCAGATATCATATATCAACTGATTAATAATGAAACGTTTTCATATGAGCAAATTAATCAAATACACAACAAACGATTATAGTTAAAATATACCCATTATCGATCAAATCGAGTAACTATTATATTTAACACAATGAGTATCTACTATCGTGACATTCACGTGAAGGTGTTTTAACAAAACGAAATTCTTCACTTTCATTCATGTTTAAACATATCAATTATTTAATCGTATGCATACTCTTATTAACCATTAACAAAAAACTCTATCATACACCTTAACATGAACGTATATCCAAATATACAGAAACATGGTTTAGTTGAATTATATAACTTTGTTTATCTTATGTTTTACCAATTAAATTTCATAAATTTAAACAAGCTCAAACAAATTACAATTATTCATCTATATCAAAATATAGATTAAACTAGATTTAAATTCAGTATTAAACACGTAGGCTCTGCTACCACTGTTGGAATTAGTACCGGTTTATAACGATTTATAAATACTAATTACGAATTTAATTGCCAGGAACCGTGTAAATAAAGAATAAAATCTAGATCTTAGGGTTTGAATATACCTGGATATTTTGCAGCGGAAATATGAACCATATTAATTCGAGGTCGTTTCAGCACCCCAAGTGTTGTGCCTCTACCGGTATCCACACGCACACAAACTGGATCACACGTAGTATGCTAGTACTGTTGAGATCTCATCTCAAAATTTAGACAAACAATTTGTCTCTTATGTTTTAGGGTTTTTTAGGTTTTTGTCGGCTAGGTCAAGAGAACGACTTTCTCTCTCATTATATAGCTATCACACGTTGCCTTTTTATATGAAACCATATAAACCTAATCTAATTAGGAAAAGACATATGGGCTTAGACCCATTATGTGAGAATAATTCCAAACCCAATTTGGATTAATTAAACACATCCACAACATATCCATATATGCATGTGTGTTTACTATATATTATTTTATTTATCTCATAAATAAAGAAAACCTTTAAACCCAATATTAGTTTAATCTAAATTAAACTCAAATATAGTTTGATCCAATTTGCTTAGGTGTGTGACCCTGTAGGTTCGTATAATATTAGCAATGAGTCTAAGACTCATAGATTATAAGCGGTCTCTAGCAAAACATTATAACCACCTAATATTATACGAATGTCAAACCTCGACATTACAACTTCAATTAGAGTAAAGTACAAACGATTTCAGGACATTCCCAACACGGGTATGTTTCGGTCTGAATCCCAATTTACCGTTAACCTCTATCGAACTGTAACAAAAGTCACCAAGAAGAAAAAGAAGACTATAACAATCTTGTAGGGGTTGGTTCTAATGTCTACGCCATTATCGGATCCATCAATGTCGTTCTCACATGTGGCAAGATATTGTTATAGTCTTATTAAGGTTGCGAATTAACGTGGAAAGATGGTGGTTTTGTGGCTTTAACGATTTTACAAGGAAAGCTATAGATCATGGCCGGAGGTGCAAAAACATATTTTACAAGGAAACTCTCGCTCTGTTGTTAGTACAAGTCTGAAATTTTTACATTTGAAAACATATATTCGACAACGATTAATTACAATAAAATAGAAAGATTAACAACAACATATTATAAATTTGAAATTAATGAACAAACAAAGATTTACAAAATGAGTAACAATACTACTTTTGCCGACACATTTATGATTAAAAACAACAAAAAAAGAAAGATAACAACAGAGTATTCACATTTAATGTATAAGACTTACAATATCCATTAAACAGAGTATTAAAAGACAATTTATATTAGTATGTGTAATTTTCAAGGAGTATTTTTTGAGAATTTTCTGAGTATGTAAAAGATACTTTGAATAAGGGTAATTCCTTTTATTAGGCTTTTACATTTCGTTGTCAAAACGTTTCATGCAATCTCCTATATTTGAACCTATCTTACGGAATCAACACGGCTCCTACTCTAATCTCTTACTCAGTTTTCTTATTGCATTTCAATGTCTTGCGGACCACACACTTTTTCCCTAGCTTTTGTTTTCTTTTCCAAATTCAATGTCTTCGTATCTCAACCCGTTAAAACTTTACTTCAGTTCACAATCGTTTCAATAAGAATCCTAAAAACTTTTAAATATGCATTGTATCTTGGGGTTATATGTGTCGTAAAGGCCTGTGAGCTGTCGATTGTGGTGGGAAATGGAGTCTATAAATGCCTGCAGATCCCGACAACATTAATGTCCAATTTTCAACAGTCGGCTATGGACGATGTCACACGTACGAATGACCAACAATTGGACCGATCAGCAGTTAGAATCGTCGACGTTTGCATTTTATCTTTCCACTATGTGATCCCTTTTTTCCTAATTATGACGTTCAAAAAGATTTTAAAACATGTGGTGCAAATTAACACCAAGCTAAGTTCGATTCTACAACATTACATGATGAATTTACAAAAGAAAAAAAAAATTTGTAGTCAAAATTAAAATAATACTTTATCACTCTATGCATATTGAAAGTTGTAATAAGTTGTTCAAATGTGGAAGTCATATACATAAGCATCTTAAACGAATAATAAATATACACAAGGATCTTTGACTTTTCGAATATGTTTTAAACATACAATGTCCAGACATAAAATAGCTGTACTTTTTTTTGATATTTTTATTCTTTTTCAAGCCGCCACGTAAAAAAACATTGATAACCTCACCTGGTCTTCACGTACGTCCGGGTCCACAAATGCATGTTATTGTTACTATTATGATGATGGTATGGATGAATATGATGAAAACGATGATGATGATGATTGTTCTTGTACCTCCATTCTCTCGTGTCATGATCATCATGGAAATGTGCAACATCATTATCACTATTCACCGAAACCTCATGACTAGTTTTACATCTCCAACGTTTTGCAACATCATCGATCATAGATAAATCCACCACTTCATCACATGCACCATCATTGTCATCTTCAATAATCTCTGTACCACATTTGAGATCAGATCTGCTTACCTCCCCTCCCTCGTTCTCATTACCTAGACCCTTAGGTTCGTCTTCTAAGGCCACGGTTTCTTCGGGACCACAACAACCTCTAATGGGATTCTTGACACCATCGACAAAATGTAATCTCAACCGTCCATCTTCTCTAGAAGCATGAAAAATCTCTGGTCTATTGATCATAACTTGCGTAAGTTCCAATCTACCATCCTTCCTCACCGGCCGGAGATAAAAAGACCGTTGTCCTCGGCCGTTCAACGACGAGAGAGGCGGAGGAAACTTTTTTTCCGGCTCTCGTGCCACCACATTCTCCTTCATCTTCCTCCTCTTTGCTTCGACCCTTTCGGTCTCCACCTCCACGTGACAAGTCATCTTATTCTCCACCTCGTTATCGGACATCCTCATGTCGTAACTCTCGAACCCTAGATACTCTGTACACAACATTAAACCATTCGCCTCGTCATGGCCAAGACCGGATACAAACGGCATCGTTTTGGTGTTGGTTTGGCCAAGGAAAGAGTGAAAACTTCTTTTGTAGAAGCTCATCTTGGTAACAAGAGAGAGAGGGTGACAAGATAGATACCTTCCTTATTTGTATTATTCTGATGATTGATGAATAATTATTACACATTTTTGTCTATAATAGAACAAGAATAGAAAAAAAAAGTCAAGAAAAAATAAATGGAAAAGAGATAGATAATCGAAAGAAGCGGTGTTTTGCTTGGTGAATAAAGGTGCCACCGAAGAAGATGACCTGTAGAGATTAGAAGAAAACGTAAATTAGGTCACACGTCAGATGGTTTCACACTTCAATCTTTTTCACTTCTTTTTAATTGGTTTTCTCTCTTGTTATGTGATATAAAATTAAAAAGAGGAAAATTGACTAACTACTCTTTTTCTTTCTGTTAAAGGAGAATAAGGAAACAAATTATATTGGTCAAAATTTTCTCTTTAATGTACTAAAAAAAAAATTTGGTTCTTATTAATATCTAAGAAGATTATACGGAACACATATCATGTGTTTGTCTATTTATAGGTTGATTTGGTTTTTGTGCTTGTTAGTTTAAATTTGGTTCCTATGAGGTTTAGCTAAGACGGATCGTGTGTTTTGAAATGATCAACTGTTGATATAATAAGTTGTTAATGTTATAGAACTATAATGAAATATATTTATATGTATGAGGTAATGAAATTTATAATTAAAGAGAAAGAGTGATGGATAGGACGAGTGGGAGAAAGTGAGTGAAGTAACAAAAGTGAAGCTTTTTGTTATTGCTTTTTACAACCAACGTTTTCAACTTCAAAATATTTAAGTATTAATTACTTGCTAACAAAGTAATTTGGGGACCAAGAGATCTCCAGAGATAAGACTAAGAGAGGAGGTCAGGTGATAAAATCAAATGATGGATAATCACTAAGTTTTTTAACAGTTATTATGCTTTCACTAACATCAATATCATAATTTTTCAAAGTTGTTTCAATAATTAATCTTAATTATACAAGAAAACAATGTCATCAAATGAGAGATTATGAGAGACTCTATCACCTTTTTTTTAGAGACTCTTAGAATTAAATATTACTATTTATTATTTTATTGTTTTTTTTGTAGATGAGAATCTATGGTGAGAGACTCACCAATGCACATGCTCTTAGAGCATATCCAATGGAGTCTCTCTTCTAAGTTTCTCTTCTTAAAACTGATTAAAACTGATTAAAATTAAATCAGGAAACATAAATATGGGAAGAGGTGGTTCTGTGAAGAGAGTTTTGGGAAACCAGGAGAGACAAACATGTGTCACTGTTTGAGTGGTGGTCAATTTTTATCAAAAGAAAAAAAAAACAAAATGTGTTTCATCTCTTGCTTCGCTTTTTTTCCCCGACTCTCTCTATTTCTCTCTTTTGGCGATAGAGTCGGCGATGGCTAACATGAGAGTTTGTCCGACAATTTTGGCGATAAGGGAGAAATTATGGTGTATGAGCGTGCGTTCGGCCGGATTCGTCATCTCGAGCCGCTGCTCATCATCGGCGATGGGAGATTAAGCAAATCGGAGAGTAATCGACGAAGGAAGCTCCCGTTTGTTTCTAATGGTATAAATCTAGTCCTTTTCCCCAGGTTTTCATGATTAAACCTTGTAGTTTGATGTTGGTCAATTAGGGTTCTCCGATTTTTTCCAAATTAGGATTATGTTTTGTAAATTAGGCTTCTTAGTTCTAAGCATCGATTAGGGTTATTTGAAACAATTTGGAGGCTTGTGATTGTTATTTGGCATGACTGAAGACTAATCGAGTGATTGAATGTTTGATTAGTCTTCATAGTTTCGGATAAATTAGGGTTCTTAGTTCTAAGCATCAATTAGGATTAATAGAATAAATTTGGGGACTCTGTTATAGTTCTTTGGCATTGAAGACGAAATTTTGAGAAGAGATTTTTTTATTTTGATATATACTGTCGGAAATCATACTCTGTTTTGGGAAAAACGGTCTATTTCCCCACGAGAACTATCGCATCATAACAGATAGAGCCCAAAGTATGATCCCGATGTATATATCTCTAAAACTAAAGTTTTATACCTATTTCCCCTTGAAATAAAAGTTCTATATCTAAATCTCCCCGAACTAATAGTTCGAGATCTATTAACCCATAATCATGGGTTTCGTCTGTTTACTATTTACTTAACCGATTATTAAAGAAACTAAACTCAATTAAACCAGAAAAAAACCAGATTTTTCTAATATCTTTCTTTCTCTCTTCAATCACCCGTAAACACTCAACGACATCAATTTTAACATATAAATTCGAAGATTATATACATTCACATTGATTTTGTTCCAAAAAAAAAATATATGCATTCACATTGATTAATTTTCTGGGCAAGTTCACATAGTTCTCATATGAACTTAGATTTATTGAAACCCAATAAACATCTATCCATATAAACAAGTCTGATGCATTCTTAAATCAATTTTAATTCTTTACTATCTAATCTCTCGTCTCTGGTCCGAAATAATTAGGGTGTCCTTTCAACAGAATTTATCAAAGAATTTGATTTATTAGCAAAATAATAGACAAACCCTACACAGAATGAAACTGTCGTTTCTCCCCTGAAGAGAAGGCTTAACTTTTCATAAAAGCACAACTATAAGCAAACGAAAACCCAAAACTGGAAACGAGAGGTATCGATCCGAATATGATAAAACGAGAGATTCAGATTTCATGGGTATTAATGTCTTCTTGTTTCTCACACTCATTGACTCTTCATAAGAAAATTGCAATCACATAAAGAAGATCGGCCATGGTTGAGAAGAAGAGCAAGAGGAAGAAGTTTGAGAAATGGGGTCTTCTCCGCCATTGTTGCTATTTTGAAGCTTCTTCTACTTCTCTCTCCTCTGTTATCAATGAAAACTGAAATAACTTTTGTTTTTCTCTTTAATTAATTAATTACTCTCATATATCGTAAATAGTCTCCCAAATAGACATTAGAGAAAGATATTAGAAAAATCTGGTTTTTTTTGTTTAATTGGGTTTAGTTTTTTTACTAATCGGTTAAGTAAATAGTAAACTGACGAAATCCAAGATTGTGGGTTAATAGATCTCGTACTATTAATTCGGGGATATTTAGATATACAACTTTTATTTTAGGGGGAAATAGGTATAGAACTTTAGTTTTAGAGATATATACATCGAGATCATACTTTCGGTTCTATCTGGTATGATGCGATAGATCTCGTGGGGAAATAGACCGTTTTTCCCTGTTTTGGAGATGCTCTAAGTATTATCGAATTTTACATGATTCATACACTGTTTTGTTTTCAGTCTTCATACATTGAATTTGATTTGTATATCTCTCTTATTGCTTGAATCAATTTGTCAAATAAATGTGTAATCTGATTTGTAGTCTTAATGTTTATGCTAATGTAATTTCTTTTTCTCTAATTTTGGTGAGGGTAAATGGAGTATCTGGAAGTGGAGAAAGCTGATTGGTGTTGTTGTTTTGGAGAATCTGCAAGTGGATAAAGGCATAGATTTAGCAGTCATAAATGAAGGTAAATATGCCTTGTGTTTGTGTTTTCATTCAATGAGCTTTATGTTATATATGCACATTAGGTAGAGATTTAAATAAAGAGTTAAGTAAACTGAGCATTACTGCTTTATGTTATATACAATGGTGTTGTCGTTTAGGAGAGCTCATTGTATTTGTTGTATCATTGCTTGCTGTTTTATATTAGGTATAGAGTTAAGTATATAATTAAGTAAACTGAGCATCAAACTTTAAGTTTTTAGTATTCTAAGTTTTTTTGTGATCAATGCATAGTTGGTTTAGATTAGGTAAAAACTTTTAGTGTCTTTACCATGTCATTGATTGCTAACACTAGTTAGAACTTCATCTTCTTTAAATCAGTGAAAGAAAGACTAACACAAACCACAAACCACACACCACAAACACTTTCAGTCATATATTTCCTTATCCTTTAACCCTTCAGTCTTCTCTTCCACACGTCTTTTAACACCCACAACCACTACAATATGGATCCTATGAATCCATATTGTTAGTCTTCTGGTTTCCTGGAACTGTTGCTTAGTCAACAAGAAGACACAACTTTTACCAATCCGTATGCGAGTATGTCACCAAGTACTGTCACTGGATCATCTGAAGTCCCAACCTTTAGTACACAGTGGTCTGATGAAGAAAGTGAAGGTGAAGCCAGACCTAAGGTGGGTATATCAAGAAAGAAATGGAGCCCAAAAGAGGATGTTGTTTTCATAAGTTCATGATTGAATACCAGCAAGGATCATGTGATAAGGAATGAGCAAAAATCTAATTCCTTTTGGAAACGGATTGCAGCCTATATGTAGCCTCTAGTCCGCTTGATGGTCTCCCAAAGAGAGAGCATACTAAGGCCTTGAATGTACGACGCGGTGCGGTGCGTATTTGTCAAAACCACAGTTAAATTCACCATTCAACATAACTTTTTTTCTTTTTGTGATTGTTGAATACAATAATGAAAAAACTAATTGTTACTGTGGCGGATCCAATTATAATAGAGAAACGACGAAACGCATGTGGCCATAAAAATGCATCAAATATGATGTGGTTAAACAATTCAAGTGTGGTCATATTTTTAATTTATTTCTATTAATCCAAAGAATTTTAGAACAATTCATAAAGGACAAAAAAATGATATCGATCACTACAATTCTAAAGTAAAATTTAATTAACCCAAATATTATAAAATAGTTATTGTTTGTGAATTTTTTTTTTAATTTTGCAATAAAAAATTTGTAATTCATAAATCTAAAATTTTTATTGTTAACTTCATTTTATTATTACTATTTGTCTCTTAAAAATATTAAAATATATTTTACCAAACAAGATCTAACTCGAACCCGAAAAAAACCGACCCCAAACTAGACATATTTTGTTGTTGTTTATGATTCATAAATAAAATATGTAAAAAGTTTTATCATTAATTAAACAAATTATTAATAATTAATTTATATTATTACATTTATTTTTATTTAAAATATATAT